ATACATTTTTCGAATTAGCTGCAACTTCTGACCGGAAGAATAATTTGCAAACGAAGCACAGCTGCGCTTTCTGCTTCTCGAGGACATTTTTTTACTTAGGTTTGGTTAAGTAAGGAGACCAGTTCCATCTAGTGTTTGTAAATGCACATTGCAGGCTGTTGGCTTCCTAAAGGTGACTGTTAGCCTGAAATAACCGGAAGTAACTAAGTCTGACATTCGCCAAAGGCCAACGACTGTCAAATAAAGACCAATAGAGCTGACAAAGCCTTCAAAGAAAATGTACTTTTATTACATCTCTATTCTCTTTAGACCTGATTTGCTGTCAGTTGTAATAATTAGTCGAAGCTAATTCAAATGCTAAGGTGCTAATGTACATTTGATTTCATAATTTCATTTGACCTAATTAATTATGCTTATGACTACATTTGCTAATGAAGGAAGTTGCTATGGTGTTTAGCTCTGAATAGACCAATTGTTCGAATGAAAAATAATTATATTTTTCACTCAAAGTATATTTGTATTTTTGATATTAGCACTAAAATGCTACATGTTAGCTTTTAGGTAAACACTTTGTTAGCTCTTTGTCAACCCTCAAAGCTGGAGGCTTTATTTGTATTTCCTGTTAAAAATAATATACCAACACAAGTGATTGTTAAAAATCAGATTCCAAAATAGAAAATCACATAAGGTCAAAGCACATAGAAAGAAAATGTGATGGGGAATCCCAAAGGTTTTTCTGGTCTGAATGATGGGACAAGGAAGCAGTTTGTTGCTTAAATGGCTTTTTATAGAGTTACAGCGGTTTCCATGGGTATCACTTTCTGCCCGCTTTGGAATCTAACAAACAAATCCAAAAATCCACATATAAAAATCAAATGATTGGTCCATCATGGATTTGCCAGTACAGCGTGATAACATAGATTTTTAACATGTATAATGTAAATTTAAATAGTGTGATTTTCCTGCCATAATGCTTCAAAGCTGATATGTTTTCCACACAATGAAAACAAAGACTTCACAGCTTCTCGGAAACCAATTTTAATAAGTCAAACACTTCACATGAAAATAAAAAATAACACCCGTTATTGGTTTTCTGAGATCAGGGATGTACATGGTGTAGTGATATATAAAAGTAAAAAAGTGAAGACACTTCTGGCACTCTGACTTATAAATGGTGAAGAAAAAAGAGTTTGTATTAATGATTGTCCCCACAAAGTGTAACAGTAAAAATAACAATTAGAAAATTAAAAAAACAAAAACACACACTGCAAGCCAAAGGTTGCACTCTTCACATGCCAGGTTGTCTACTATATTGTGCGCTTGTCTTGTGGATCTCTGCCACCCTCTAGTGGTGGGAGGTTGAGGTTGCAGCCAGTTGGAGGCTACATGTGCTCCGGGTGGTTCTGCAGACAGGTGATGAACTCCTTCACCTCCTTCCCTTCATAGCAAATCTGGTAGACGGCAACGAACAAAGGAAACCTGTTGGACACAAACATTTTACAGCATTAGTGATAGAAAACACAAAGCGTGCATTATGAACACACACGGGGGAAACAAAATAAGCTTATTAACAGGTTTTAACATAATGTAACTAACAGCTTCTACTGTGTCATCCCACAAGGTTTAGAAGAGTCTTTCTGGAAATTTTGGACCATTTTTACAGAAATCCATTCATGAGGTCAGACAGTGATGTTGGACGAGAAGACCAAACAGTGGGAATGCAATTTTAATACTACATATGTATAAACGTAGGTACTAGAGCTGCTGTATGTGGTGGGGAACTTACTTCTTGACTATGCCTTGCTTTTGGAGGATCTTGTAGACCTCGGCTGAGGTCTGTGGACCCTGCAGCTTCTGTCCGTTCAGCATCTCGGCCTCCAGCTCAGCGATGGACTGCACAGGGAAACACAACGTTCCATGATTCCTGGCAGCTAGCTCATTTCAATTCCATTAAGTGAGGAAGGGGAAATGTTGCGATGAACTTCCTATGTCTGACTGACTTTGGAGGTTTTGACGAAGGCCTCAGCGACACGGCGGTTCCGTCCGCCGTAGCAGGTGGTGATGAGGTCGGCCACGCCGCAGCTCTCCAGGAAGGTGCCAGAGCTCACGTTGCCCTTGCAGAACATCTTGGCGAACGCCACCATCTCCATCAGGCCCAGCCGGATCACCGCCGCCTTGGTGTTGTCACCGAACCCGAGTCCGTCGCAGAAGCCGGCGCCCACTGCCACGATGTTCTAGGATGGGGATAGAGAGGGTCAGAGAACAGCTGGTCAAGTGGAAATGGGTGGAAGTTTGCTATGCGCTGACGCGTGTGTGTACCTTTAAGGCGCCACACAGCTCCACCGTGTCGCTCTCTGGAACCACGGTGATGCGGAAGTTGGGCGTCTGCAGCAGCTCCTTGAGCAGCTGGCCCTGCGCCTCATTCTTCGCCCCTTCATGGAAGCAGAAACATGAGTCAGACTCTGAAACTGGAAGTCACGCTGTGGGCTGCTAACATCAGCACTTTTCCCATTTAACCAGAACGAGAGCAGACCGATGGTGGTTTCGCAGAACTTTTCGTCAGCCACCTCGTTGGCGATGTTGGCCCCCATCAGCACGCTGACGTCAATCTGCAGCTTCTCCCTGATGATGTCGGAGATGAGCTTCAGGCCATCTGGACCCTCATCGATTCCCTGCAGAGCAGCACAGCGTTCAGCAGCGGAACCCTCTGCAGCCAGCTCCTCCAACACAACCCCACCTTGATGAGGGAAATCCCGATGGCTCCCTCCGTCACGTGAGGCTTCATCTCGTCACAGAGTTTACTGATGAACTGATGAGGAATGACGAAGACCAGGATACTGGCTCCCTTCATAGCTTCAGTGATGTTAGGAACAGCCACCTGTAAACACGGCAACCTCCGTCACTAAAGACCACACCACCCAGACTGACGTCTCAAACGTGTTGACCAGGCTACAGCCATACCAAAAACTCACGACATGAGACACAATACTGCTTTCATAAGAATGAGACGGGATTTTATTACTTTCAAAAAAACTTCAAAGGTCAAATTTATGCTTCATTCTGCATTTTTACAGATTTCACAACAAATGCAACAGACTGACTTTTCATTTTCATCTCTTCAGAACTTGGGACGACTATCTACACATCGTTTGGCCTTGGGTTCACGTTGAGGTCTCTCTTCCAGAAATGGTCAAAATTAGACTTACAGGGATCTCCTGTATGTTTTCACCCACAAATAGCTATAATCCATTAATAGTTGAGGCTCTCTCTAAAACCACCTACTTTAACAGTTCAAATGCCAAATATACCTAAATATGCATAGCTCTACAACAGAAGCTAACATCTACAGTCTTCCTTGTCTCTGCTCTTGGTGGTTGAGCCAATTAGAGCTGAAACAATCAATCGTGATAAATCAATTATTGAAATGACCCTCAACTAATGTAGTAATAGATTAATGGTAAACTGGAGCATCCAGATTCTAAAAAAAGACAATTTGCTGAAAGAACAGCACAAGCAGCGCAGCAATGAAGCCATAACTATATCTTTGATCAAGCAGTCATTTCAGAAATGCTCTTATTGAAATTTAGGCAAAAATTTTTATTTTCCCATTTGACAAAGAAACAACTTGTTTATGTGGATCTTTGTATGTATTTCTAATGTTGTATAAAAAAGGTTCAATGAAAAATCTGCACAATGCAGTGTTTTGTTTTGTTTTTAAAAATCTGATTACCCAATTAATCATCAGACTAAGCAATTAGTAAAATAATCATTAGCTGCAGCTTTACAGCCAATCAGTGCCAAGGAAAATTAATGGCATTCCCGGATTGGCTGCTGTGCAAAATGCCAAGGTGTCTAGTAGAATCACTCTTAGGTATCTCAGCTTCCCAAGCTGCATTTTGTCTGGAATATTATAGATACGAAAAACAAAGTCCACGAATTGGCAAATTTTGTACGAATAATTTAAAGTTATGTACCCGCAGAATAATCTGCAAAAACTGAGCTGTGACTAGTTGGGGCTACACTGTACCTGGTTACAAGTACAGTACAAAAGCATACTGATTAATTGTTAATTATTAGCAACTTGCACCTTCACTGAGTTGCAGCCAAGACAAACGGTCAGACCCAGTGGACCGGAAACATTCAGGTTGGACACCTGTCCTGTTACTAGGTAGACATGGGTTGGAAGTTGAATAATGGAGAAATGAATGATTTTTTAACATAATTATATCTATGGATGGTGAAACAGTCCCAGAGCATGGTGGTGCTACTACCAAAAGGCTTGAAGGTCACACTTTGATCTTTCCCAGAGAGTACTGCTCCGCTCCCCAGAACCAGGTCAGGATTAATGAAGACAGATAAACTCTTTCCAGGGACATTCCTGCTCCTGCAGGGACAGGACTGTGGAGGATAAATTCTCGGAAACACCAACACCCTACCACATTCTTGGGCAGCTTGTGTCCCGGCAGGTATTTGACGTTTTCATGCTCGGTGTTGATGATCTCGGTGAGCTTCCTGCCGTCGATCATCTCCTCGTAGACCCACATGTTAACCAAGGGGTTGAAGCGGTTGGACGCCTTCACATTGTGGCCGATGATCTTGGCGATAGAGGATCCCCTGGAGGAAGAGCCACAAGTTCAGGATGGAGGACTCCAGCCAATCACAGGGCATTATTTAACAAACGGTGACAAGTTTTGGTAAAGCTTTGATGCTAATGGTTTATTTGCACATTTAAAAGAAGAGAAAAGGACATTTAAATCCCTGGAGTGACACAGAGTAGAGATAATCAGATTATATTAACCCAGCAGGTTTGAATCTGCCTAATTCAAATTTAGTTAAACGCTGACCGCAACATAAAGCAGCCATAGCAAAAAACATGAATATAGAGTAAAGTCACCAGTTTCCAGATCCAACGATGCAGACTTTCTGAGCAGGCATGTTGAAACTGGATAAACGCTTTGCTAGACTGAAGTATGTGTTGTTCTCCACTCGCCAGTAGAACTTCCTTATCCGCCCTGCTGTTGCTAAAAGACACCCGCTCCACCCTGAGCTCGCCACGGTTCCGCCTCCCGATTCCTCCCGTGGAATTTCAGCAACCTGAAGTGTTGCGTGGAGCACAAACCTGCTAATCTCAATGGATTTCCACACACTTCCTCATTTCAGCTCCACATAAAAGGATTAAATTACTCTTAACGACGATAATAATGCAGCCGAATACGGGGTTGGGTGCGTAAAAAATAAAGTTCACCAGCATATAAACTGCACTGATGTTTTAGAGGGCGCCGATTGATAAATAACCACTAAATAATTAGGATACCGCCAATCATAACGTCTACTATGGAGCAGAACTCTGAATGGTTAGTCTTCCGGTTTGAGACTTTCAAAATAATGGTGGAAGAGGTTTTAAGACTGCGAGAATCAAATTAAATTCAACAGTAAAAATTCTAATATGAAGAAAAAATAGATATTGCGTTATTTATAGAAAAATATTTAAACTACTTAATCTTAGCAATATACTGTAAATTTATTTACAATGGAAATAAGTTACATTAATGAGGTGATAAATAAGTTCAGTTAGCAAATTGTATGACAACAGGGGTTTGAAATTTGATCAGCGTAACATCTGTTTTACAAGCGATGTATTTGTAGAAACATGGCCGAGTGATCGGTTTTAGGGGCAAATTAAAGTACTCTGAATGTACTTCATACGATCTGTACATTGGAAAACTTTTGCGTTTTTACAAAAATTCATTTTCATTTTTTATCATTAGCAGCGGGTTCTGGTTTTTCGTTTTTTAATTGTTTTTATTTCTTTAAATCCAAACCGGAAATGCGATGCCGTCAAACAGTCACGTGACAATTGCGTTCCTGCCGAGGCAGTAAATAGCATCAGCTATCGGAGGCTGTTAACCCAGCTACACCGTTTCATGATGTTTCCCCAACCGTAGTCCGCTCACTGTCTGAAGGAGAGCTCCAAACCGGTTTTCCCAGAGGTGGGTGACGACTTTTCCTGGAGTGGGGCGAAATTAGAACCCAGAAGCTCGAGCTGGGTGATCAAATCTCAGCTTAGCATCAGAAGTTTTAGCCTCCGCCGCCGCAGGAGGAGCAGGGCTGACGGAGGCAAGGGCTCTGCCTTGTGACCATGCAGGGGGAAACTGCGGCGGTTCGGGTCGCGGAGAACGAGGGGAAAGTGGATACATTTCCCCCGAACAGAACCCCCAGTTCGGGGAGAGCGGGCGGGAAGAGCTGGCAGTACAGGTGGGTGTTTTTACTCTGTTTACCTGCCAACCTGACTCACCTGAGTAAAGCGGGGGACTTTGCCCTGCGCGCTGACTGTCAGGAGCCGCTGATCATCAGTCTGTGTTGACCCAAACATTTCTGTCTGTCCGAAGCGATCACATGGAGAACATTGACGGCTACCTGATGAAGTACACCAACCTGGTGACAGGCTGGCAGTACAGGTGAGTTGTGACATGGCGCTGGCGCTTTAAGCCGGGTGCTCTGGTCACTGACAGGCTGCTCCTCCAGGTACTTCGTCCTGAACAACGAGGCGGGTCTGTTGGAGTACTTTGTGAACGAGCAGTCCCGCTCCCAGAAGCCCCGGGGCAGCCTGCCGCTGGCTGGGGCCGTCATCTCTCCCAGCGACGAGGACTCCCACACCTTCACCGTAAACGCTATCAGTGGAGAGCAGTACAAGCTGCGAGGTGAGCCCACCACCATCATCATCATCCAGCTGCTGGTATTGATCTGCAGCAGGTCCATTATGTGCAGCCGGTGAGGCACAGGATCGATGATTCTCTCTCCTCTGTGTGTGTGTGTGTGTGTGTAGCCAGTGACGCCAAAGAGAGGCAGCACTGGGTGAGCCGGCTGCAGATCTGCACTCAGCACCACACCGAGGCCCTGGGCAAGGTAGGAGAGTTCTGGTTCTGACCCAGACCGGCTCCGGACCATTTCCTCATGTGTGTGTCTTGTCTCCCAGAGCAACCCCGCCCCCAGCCGCAGGTACTCTGTGGCGTCCCAGAGCAGCGCCAGCTCGCCGTTGTCTATGCGGCGGCCCAGTCAGAGTGCCTCGGCCTTGTTCGGCTGGACGCAAAACCACAAGGGCTCCGTCTACTCGAGCAGGAAGTCCCTGATGCCCGACCACCTGCTGGACGCCAGGGAGGTATGACACACACCCCAACATGGCCGACACCTGTCTGTCTGTAACTGGTTTGGTCTCTGAATCGTGTTGAATCAGCAGACAGACTGGATCGGTCTGTTTTTTGTTTTGTTTTGTTTTTTGAAGTAATGTGATGTTATTCCCTTTAGATCCAAAACTTAAAAGGATTTTTCACATTTGCTGTATTATAAGAAAAATAAAGGCATCTAGTCTTCAAATCCACTTTGTATATGGCAAGTTTTTAGAATATTCAAACGTATCCTGTTATGAAAACAGGAATCGGGTCACTTTCTTTCTAAACACTTCCCATATTTACTGAAGTTTAATAAATTAAATCAGAGTTTATTTGGCTGCTGCAAAGTTGACGATTCTAGATAGACGTCATTCTACTAACAGTCTGGTTGTAAAAATACAAATACTTTATGTTGTACGTAACATTTTCCATTGTAAGAAATTGTTACTATTCTTGAACTGCAGTTGGGGACCACAAAAAAATCAGTGCAAGGGCCACAAATGGCCCCTGGGCTGCACTCTGGTGCCCCCTGCTGTAGACGGGAGGGCAAAGTGTGATTTCCTGCTGATGTGTAATTAGCTGTATTGTCTTAAATCATGTAATATTCAGTAGTGGGGTGAGTGAGTGGTGGTGCACTGTGTCTCCAGCAGGGGGAGCTGCTGCACTGCTGCCATCCTGGCAGGCTGCAGCAGCAGAATCAGAGCTGATGTTGGCTCATCTCTGACCCAGATGTGGTTCTGTTTGTGACCAGATGATGAGCCAGGCCCAGGGCCAGCACCGGGACCTGATCCAGAGCATCGAGGGGTTGCCGGTGGCCCCGGGCCCCGGCCTGTCCCCCTTGGACCAGGACCTGCTGATGCTGAAGGCCACCTCCATGGCCACCATGAGCTGCCTGAGCGAGTGTCTGCACATCCTGCAGCTGCAGCAGGTGGCGCGGCAGCGGGCCGCCCTGGGAGGTGAGTGACTGGAATTATGCTGCATTATTGATGGGAACCGGAGCAGCTGGCCGTCTGGACAGGTAATTAGATCTGCACCTCTTAAATATTCACCTGGGCAGGTGGAGTGGGTAGGAGCGGCGTCCTGAGGCTGCAGCGGCCCACTCAGCAGCGCTCTGACCCACTCGCCGCCGCGCTGCCTCGGCTAAATGTGTCCCAGTTTCACAGCAGATCTCCTTACCTGACCAGCAGCCGTCCAATTAGAGCAGCAGGAGGCTTCCTGTGGGTGGGGCAAAGCCGTGGTGATAGCCGCGGTCTGAGGCTGTGCCAGGTTACTCCCAGTGGGTCAGAGTAGCAGGTGGAGCTGCTGGGGGGGTGTGAGGCGGGGAGGGGGTGCCACCATGAGCTCGGCTGCTGACACCTGTGCGGGGCCCGCTGCGGGGCCCTCGCCTGCCTCCACAGGGCCCACCATCGAGTGGCTGGAGCGCAAAGGGGCCGACGACGTCCTGAAGAACGGCAGCAGTCCGCTGGGCGACCACACCCCACTGGACGGGGGCCGCCTGCCGCTCAGCCCCCCCGACACCTGCAGCTGCTCTGGGGTAAGAATGCCGTTACCATGGAGACGGGCTTCCTTCACTGTATGTTTCATTGTTTAATGTCACTTTATTAACTTCGAACATGATCCGTTTTTATCAATAAAATGCTCTTCCTGGGCCGTAACTGTTCTGTTTCTCATGAATGCCATCATTAGTTTCAGTCACATATTTATGAAGTTTAGCCATTAAAATACCTGTAAATAAAACAGGAACATTTCTATGTTTAGTGGAAAAAGTCACTGAATTCTGTCATCCTTATGTTGAAATTCATAGATTTCAGTTCATAATTCATCTTCAGTGAGGAGACATTAAAACCAGACTTTTTCCAGGATTTTCACACAAATTAATTATAAAATAAATCAAATTGTAAATAGCAATGTTTATGCATTTCAAACAAAAGAAAATAAATCAAAAGCAAGTGAAAGAGCAAATTAAAAATGGATATTTCTGATTTTTATGTTTCATTTTATTGACTTCAATTTTTTTGTATTGCATCTAGTTGAAACTAACTTGGTGAAAAAGAACAGGAAGGAGTGTAAAGTTCTAATTCATCACTGTATTGTTTCTGGATACAGAAAGTAGTTTTCATATGTTGGAAATTTTAAAAAATGCATTTTGGTTTAATTTCAAACAAGAAAAGTCATGAATTAAAAATATAAAATGTCAAGGAAGCCAAGAGGTTCCTATAAGACTTGAGTTATTTCCTGCATAGCTTGGGTTGAGTTGATGCTAACAGTGTAGCATACGGCCAACCTGGAGTGGACCAATCAGAGTTTAGAAGCTAGATTTAATAAGCTGCCAGGTGATTTCCTTTAAATCCACCAGTTTAAACCCGAACAACGTCTAAAACTTTATAAGTTTAATAATAATAAGGGTTAAAACTTGTGAGTTTTGTCTACTTTGGGAACAACTTGAGGTTTAATAACATTCATAAATAAAAAATACAAATAAGCAATTAATATTTCTAGGATACTTTTGTGTGTGGAAGGGACACAGGTGGGGATTCATAGATATTAATGTTTTTATGACAGATAACTGATATTGGAGCGATGGCGATTAAAAACTGACTGAGAGCAGATGGTGCTTTTTATTTAGCAACCTCAGACATGAATAATAAAAAGTTTGTTGAAAGTAAACTGTTTTTTATGGTGTTAAGTAATGACTAAATATTAACTGCACATTGACTAAAGTTAAGAACAAGCACGATGAAGAGCTTAATTTTATTCTGTGTCAAAATCTCATTAAATTATCTAATTTATTATTTTAAATAGCAGCTTATTGTATTTTGAGTAAAAAGCAGCCATTTTTGGTGCTCTGGATGGAGAACGGATCAGAACCAGCAGTGTTATTGTAATATCTACTGTAAGGAGCTGTCTGACCCGAGGCACTGGGCTTTGCCCTGGGCTCTGTCTGGCAGGAGCAGGAGGAGGTGGACCCGGAGGACGAGGTGGAGGACTCATTCATGGACACGGAGGAAGACCTGGGGGCCGTGGAGGAGGAACGCAGCGTCATCCTGCACCTGCTGTCACAGCTCAAGCTGGGCATGGACCTGACCCGGGTACGGCCCCGTCCACCAATCACAGAGCAGGATCAGCCTGACATCAGAAGGGGAAGCTGTTAGTTCTAAACAAATTTTTGCTAATAAAGCATCAATCTTCAAAATGTCCAGGTTTAACACCTGGATGTCTTCTCTCTACAGTTTCTGGTTAAAACTGAATTGGGTGACCTGCACTGCCCCCTTCAGGAGACCAGGCACACAGCAGTTCTCATGCTCATGTGGTGTTTAATCAGTTTTACGAAATGATCTAAAATCAGGGTCAGATTGTAACTCTAGTTACAATCAAATCAAATCCTGTTGCTTCTGTTCCAGATGCTCCAATCAGGATTTTCCTGGTGCAGTTTTAACAATAAAATATATTTTTATTAGTATAATTAGGATTGATGCGGTTAACTGTCCTACTAGCAGGTAGTCGATACATTTACAGACTGAATGTAGTGGATCTTTCTAGAGTCATTCATTTAATCATTGTTTCCTTAGCTACTCTTAAAGATTTTAAAGATAAAAACTCATATTTAAAGTGATTTAAATGAGCCAAGCACTACTTAGAAGACAGGTAAACTGATCTCCATAGCAACCAGAAGCTGGCAGCTAAGTGTTAAATATGTGTTGTGGTGAGTTGAGGTTTTCGGTTAGAGGGTGTGACCTGTAAACCCGTCCCTCAGGTGGTCCTGCCCACCTTCATCCTGGAGAAGCGCTCCCTGCTGGAGATGTACGCAGACTTCATGTCGCACCCGGAGCTCTTCGTCACCATCACCGACGGCAACAGCCCCGAGGACCGCATGATCCGCTTCGTGGAGTACTACCTCACGTCGTTCCACGAGGGCCGCAAGGGCGCCATCGCCAAGAAACCCTACAACCCAATCATCGGAGAGACCTTCCACTGCTCCTGGAGGGTCCCTCGGGGGCCCGAGGCCCTCCAGGGGGAGGCCGAGTCCCCCGTCGAGGCCCCGGAGCCCTACCAGGTCCGCTTTGTGGCGGAGCAGGTGTCCCATCATCCCCCGGTGTCTGGCTTCTACGCAGAGTGTCCGGAGAGGCAAATGTGTGTGAACACACACGTGTGGACCAAGAGCAAGTTCATGGGGATGTCCATCGGCGTGTCCATGATCGGAGAAGGTCAGTGAACTCACCAGCCTGTGGTGTAGGCGTTAACTTAGTTTCGATCAGCACTGCGCTCTCAGTTCCTGAAGGCATCAGGCTGTAGGATATGCTGCTTCTTCTGTACTTAATGCAGACTGGAAAGAACAGATAGCAGCTGATGTATATTTAACGGCGGCTGTGAGTATTTAATGAGGCTTATCAGAGCCGGTGGGATTGGATGTTCAGCGTCTGGTTTCACGGCCGCCTCTCGAGGATTTACCCGTTCTGATTGATTCACGACGTCTCTGTCCAGGTTGCCTGCATCTGCTGGAGCATGACGAGGAGTACACCTTCACGCTGCCCTGCGCCTACGCCCGCTCCATCCTCACCGTGCCCTGGGTGGAGCTGGGCGGAAAGGTCAACATCGCCTGCAACAAGTCCGGATACTCGGCTGTCATCACCTTCCAGACCAAGCCCTTCTACGGCGGAAAGTTACACAAGTACGTAATGCTGGGCGCCATGGAAACCACCAGCTAATCCTCCCTTGAGCTGCAGCTCCATTAAATGATATGGTTAAAATGGAGATACTGGCGTCACACAACACCATCCATTGATTGGAGGATAGAAAAACGACTGGTGCGTCCCGTCTGTCCTGTTGGCATGACGCAGCGCCAGGTGTTTGGGTTTAACCTGCCCAGGGAGAATCCACCCTAAGTGTTTACTAGCCTTTGTAAATGTGTATCATTTACACATTTACAATGTTAATAACGGATTTATCATCCGCTAATACACCAATAGCAGGGCTAATGTTTCATTTAGGGGAAGCCAAGTGTGCTAAACGTTTTCAGATAGATTCTAAAACGCTAATTTACACAATATGGACATTATTGAAGTTTGGCCATCAGCTTCCATTAAATACTGTATTGGTATAAAGCTTTAGTGTTAGCATAGCTAAATATGGCGTTGGTAGAGCACTTTAGCGTTGGCTCCTGCTAAACGTTGTTGTTATTCAGGGTAACGGCAGAGGTGAAGCACAACCCCACCAACGCGGTGGTGTGTCGGGTTCAGGGCGAGTGGAACGGCGTGCTGGAGTTCAGCTACACCAGCGGAGAGACCAAGGTAGTGGACGTCACCAAGCTGCCCGTCACTAGGAAGCGAGTCCGGCCCATAGAGAAGCAAGCGCCCACAGAGTCCAGGTGGGCTGGGTTCTGGCGGGAAGCGTCCATGTTGTTGATATCCGTTGTCCAACGTGGTGAACTGGTGTTGCAGGCGGCTGTGGCAGCATGTGACGGAGGCGCTGCGGCAGAAGGACATCGATAAAGCCACCGAACACAAGAGGGTCCTGGAGGAGCGGCAGCGGGCCGAGGAGCGGCAGCGGGCCGAGACTGAGATGCCGTGGAGGACCAGATACTTTGACCAGGAGGTGAGCGTCCATCACAGCCAGCCCTTCTTGTCGCCTAGCAGCAGGAACCAAACTACTTCCTGTTTCTCTCTGCAGGGTGAAGGCTGGGCCTACAGCAAGCCTCTCTGGAAGAACTCAAAGTCCTACGTTTCCTGTCTTTAAGTCCAGCTTTAGGTGGCTGAATGTGAGTGAGTTGCACACAGTTGGGATGAAGGCGGGGCACTCTGGCAGCTGGCGGCCAATCAGGTGACGCTCGGAGTCTCAGAGGATGAGCTGCCGCCCCGCTGCTGCTCCGCTGCTCGTTTTTTATATCTCGACGTATTCTTGTACAGGTACTAACAGCCTTAAGACGGTTCGGAGGGTTGGGATCTGCTTGGTTTGCTTAATTTCTCTACCTTCAGCTTCACTTTGGTTAAGAGGAGCGTTTGTTTGAGGAGAGAGAGAGGGGCGAGCGACGTGCTGCGTCTGTTCCAGACCAGCAGCTCAACCAATCAGGACGAACTTCACAGGAAAACCAGGAAAACTGCTCAAAAATCCCACTGCAGAACGGTTCATATGTCTAAACTGGTTCAAGAAATCAAAGAAATGTATCCCCAAAGTCTTGTTAGCAGATGTTATTCATCTATATGTATATACATATATGCTGGAATGACAAGTTTTGGCCTTCTTCACTCCGTCTCCCATATTCATTAGTTTGTTTTTTGTCTATAAGTGATGTTTTTTCCAAAAAAATGTAGAATTTTGTTTTTCTGTTGTTTAACTACATTTTAATAAATTAATCCAGCATCTTCAGGTTTCATTTAATCCATCTAAACATGTAAAAATTCACTTTACTCAAACTGCCTGGATATCACGAGTTTTAAATAATTTATTACATGTTTAGTGCTAATGACACTTTATTAGCATTATAAACATGTAATAAATGGTTATTAAGAGGTTAACATTGCTTTAGGCATGCTAATTTTTCAATTTTTATGAACCATTCCATGTTTTATTAACAGCTAATAAAAGCTTAACAGTTTATCCTGCAACTGTGGGGCCCCACAGTTACAGGATGTGGTTCCTGTAGCTGCCCGTCACCAGGAAGCGGTCTTGCTGGGCGTCGGCCCCCCAGCTCCAGGTGGCTCTAGCTCCGGCCCTGCCCAGCCAGTAGAGCAGCTGGTCCGGGTTCTCCTGCATGGCTCTCCTCTCAGTTTTAAAATGGTTCTGTTTGTTCCCTCCTCCTTGTGGAGCTGGAACGGTTCTGGTTCTGTGTGAAGAACCCGTCCCAGTGACACCGGTCCGGTTCCAGGCGGGTTCAGTCCACTCGGCCATCGATAAGCTACCCCGCCCCCCCTCCCCCATCCCCTCCTGCAGTCCTGGTGCCTTAGCGACTCCTCCCTCCTCCAGGGAGAGCCGGTTGTTTCCCACCAGTGGTTAACCTGAATGATGCACTGATGTCTGCTCTGTTCTCATGTTTTGATTTTCTATTTTTCTTTAAAGAGTCAGAGCTTGGGAGTGAAAGGAGTCACTTTTTAATTCTGGGTTTGGACTTCCTGTCGTCTGTCTTGCTGATTTGTGAAATGCACCGATGTCGTAGCGGAACGGACGTGTGCTAATAATCCAATAAAACTCTAAACTCTGATAACAGCCTTCATTCCTATTTTTTTTTTCACATTCACACACAACATGGTTCAAAACTATTAATACTCTGAAAAGGACAGAGAATGATTAGCAGATTAATGTGCTCCACTTCTAAATAACTGAAGGGTTTATTTAAATACTATGAATTATTGGGGCCTGCCCATGCAATACATGGCAGAAACCTATTGTTCTACAAAGATTTGTAAATGTGGACAGTGTTAGTAGCAAGCAGTTTTCGTTGTAGTGGCAGTGTGTGTGTATAACTTATCTTAAATGTGTCTTTTCGCCCCTCTCCCCCACTCGGTGTCGGCGTTGCTGCAGCGAAATCCTCCCTCGTCTCCTCTGGCTTCCTGTCAGTCCAACTGGTTTTGTCATTGGATCTTTGGGTTGTCCAGATCGTCTCTCAGGAAATGCCCATGTTGTCCACAGATGAAACAAGCGTCAATAGTTCAGAGTCGTCTTCTCTCACAGCTTTGAAGCTTGTTTAGCTTTTCTTCCTCTATGCTGATACTGGACAGCAGACCAGTGGAGGTTGTTAAAGCTCAGTTTCACATAGTTTTCAGTCCAAATGCCCAACAGGAGACTGACAGTTGTCCCCTGGAGGTGATGGAGATCTATTTTTGTCTTCTTGATCCTCCAGATCTTCTCGATCATTTTCATCGGCTGGTTTTGTAGGAGGGACATCATCTGGTCCATGGGAGGACAGGTTTGAGGAGTTGAGGTCAGATGCACCGCGCGAGGCTCAGCCAGAGGTAAAGAGAAAAAGCAAATAGAAATCGATTAGGGTTTGTTTTGTCATTTTCCTTGTTTTCTATTCATATATTTATATTTATGAATCTTATTTGAACCTTTTGCATGATGATATAGTTTGTCATTTATTATCCAGCCAGTATTATGGCTCCTGTTTGTGGAAATGTTTGTCAGAGAAACCTGAGGGTTAATTGTTGGTACAGCTCTGAGAGCTGCTTTTAGTATGAAAGGGTCCCTTATAAATAAAATTAATTAATTGAGTGATCCTTTTAAGAACTACAATTTTTTTATTTATTCAAACACACAAAAGAAAAATGAAACATATTAAGGCCTGTAATTTATCAACAAAATATTTATGTTCAGCATTTTATTCTTTTCAATATTTTATTGTCATATTTAGTCAAACAATTCACCCTGAGGAGGAGATTGCGTGCTGGAACAACTTAGACCCATTCTTCTTGAATTGGGTGGGATATCCTTCACAGAATCCAACAAATCAGCTTTGTGGTCGCTCTGCCTCTT